AGATAACCCGCTGATCGCCCCTCATTCTCAGTATGAGGCAGGAGCCCTCCCCTCTCACATGCTCCTGCTCGTGCTTCCTCCCGGTATCCCGCTTCCCCACCTACCTCAGGGCTTTGGTCTCCTTCCCCCGGTGAACCTAGTTTAAAGCCCTCCTCACTAGGTTAGCCAGCCTGCTCGCGAAGATGCTCTTCCCTCTCTTCGTTAGGTGGAGCCCGTCTCTGCCTAGTACTCCTCCTTCTTGGAACACCATCCCATGGTCGAAGAATCCAAAGCCTTCTCTCCGACACCACCTGCGTAGCCATTCGTTGACTTCCACGATTCGATGATCCCTACTCCGGCCTTTTCCTTCCACGGGGAGGATGGACGAGAACACCACTTGTGCCTCATACTCCTTTATCCTCCTTCCCAGAGCCACGTAGTCCGCAGTGATCCGCTCAAGGTCATTCTTAGCAGTATCATTGGTGCCCACGTGGAAAAGCAGGAAGGGGTAGCGGTCTGAGGGCTTGATGAGCCTCGGCAGACTCTCCGTCCCATCGCGAATCTTAGCCCTTGGCAAGCAGTAGACTTCTCTGTTTTCCCGGTCAGGGCGGCAGATAGATGACTCAGTCCCCCTGAGGAGAGAGTCCCCGACCACCACCACTTGCCTCCTTCTCTTGGGAGTGGTGGTCGTGGAACCCCCAACCTTAGGACAGTGCATCTCATGCCTTTCAACTGGCAGAGTCTCCTTTTGCTCCCTTCCCCCAGACGTATCATCTGGGCCACTCCCCGCAATGGTACCTGTGGAGAGAACATGAAAACGGTTACTTACCTGTATCTGCAGGTAGAAGCAGGAAGGGGTAGCGATCCGAGGGCTTGATGAGTCTCTGCAGTCTCTCCGTCACATCGTGAATCCTAGCTCCTGGCAAGCAGCAGACTTCTCGGTTTTCCCAGTCGGGGCGGCAGATAGATGACTCAGTCCCCCTGAGGAGAGAGAGTCCCCGACCACCACCACCCGCCTCCTTCTCTTGGGAGCGGTGGTCCTGGAACCCCCATCCCTAGGACAGTGCATCTCATGCCTTCCAATCGGCGGCGTCTCCTTCTGTTCCCTTCCCTCAGACATATCATCTAGTCCACTCTCCGCATTAGTACCTGTGGAGAGAACATGAAAACGGTTGCTTACCTGTATCTGCGTTGCTGGTACATGGATGCTCCCCTTTTTTCTTCTGGAGGTCACATGCTGCCAAATTTCTTCACCGGCCTTCTGTTCCTGCTGTGCAGCCTGCTCTGAATCTTCAGAACATTGTGTCCGTAGAAGCATATCCTGACGTCTGTCCAGGAAATCTTCAGTTTCCCTTATGCAATGCAGAGTCGATACTTGTTTCTCCAGACCTTGAACCTTCTCTTCCAATATGGAGACCAGCTTGCACTTTGTACAGACAAAGTCGTTTCTGTCCTGTGGAAGAAAGACAAACATGGCACATCCAGTGCAGGTCACAGCAGCTGAACGCTTCCCATCCATATTACCTTCCTTCTCCAGGCTTCCTCAGGAGTTGTAGTAACTACTCAGAGAAGCTGGCAGGATGTAAACCTCAGTGGGCTCTCCCCAGGCGAACTCCCAGGCAAACTCCCTGTTAGCCTCTCTGCTGTTCGCTGCTCAGCTGGTTCACAGCTGACTGGCTTTTTATAGCAGTCAGGCCCACTCAAGGCTCACCTGGAACAAAGCACTCCCAATTCACACTTTTCAAACAATCAATCAAGCACACGGTCAAACTTCATCACGGTCCAATGAATGCATCCGATGAAGTGAGCTGTAGCTCACGAAAGCTTATGCTCAAATAAATTTGTTAGTCTCTAAGGTGCCACAAGTCCTCCTTTTCTTTCTGTAGATGTAATATACTTAGACTTTTGTAAGGGTTTAACTTTGTACAGCATGATTATACCATACAATATCAATAGAGCACACACAAAATGAATTAAGAACGGCTAACTGATAGGTCTCAAAAAGTAGTTGTCAGTGCAAAATCATCCTCATATGGAGGGTGGGGGAAGTTTCTAATGGGGTTCCACAGGGATCAATTTCAGGCCTGACACTGTTCAATATTTTTATTCATGATCTCCGTGTAAATATTAACCCATGACTGATAGAACTGTGGATGACACACACATTGGCAGAGTGATAAATGGTAGTGACAGCAGTCTTGCAGAGTGACTTGGATCAGTTGGTAAGCTTGGCCCATTCAAACAAAATGTGTTCTAATGCAGCCAAATCCAAGGACCATACCTACAGAGTTGGGGATTGTGCCCTGGAAAGCGCTGACACTGAAGGATCTAGGGATCATAGTGAACAAGCAATGTGAGCTCCCAGTATGATGCTGTGGCCCAAAGGGCTAATGCCATTCTTGGGTGTATAAATAGGGGAGTAGTGAGTAGGAGTTGGGAGGTGATTTTACCTCTGTAGACAGCATTGCTGGGACTGATACTGGATACTGTGTCCAGTTCTGATGTACCGACTTAAAAAAGGAAGCTGACAAATTGGAAGGGGCACTGAAAAGAGCTACAAGAATGATTCAAGGTCTGGAAAACCTGCCCTCACTGAGAGACTAACGCAGCACAATCTATTTAGCTTAACCAAGAGAAGGCTATGAGGTGACTTGATCACAGTCTACAATTACCTAAATGGAGAAGAGATCCTGATAATAGAGGGTGTCAAGCCGTCTAGAATAGCTCAGGAGTGTAAGTGCCAATGTTACCAACCAAGTAACAAGTTTGAACTCCTAAAGCACTAAACAGCCGTAACATGGAGTTACAGACAGTCCCCTTGGGCACTCCAGTCTCTTGCCACCCAGCAAGCTGGACTTAATGGTAGATGGTCCCTTACACCAAAACTCTCAACAATATTCAAGTTGCTCGCAGTCCCAAAGGACCAGTCACTTACGCCAGGTCAATTGTATCTCAGATCTCTTACCAAAGACAACACTTGTAGCCAAGTTTGTAATTAACTAAAGATTCATTAACTAGGAAAAAGAAATGAGAATTATTTACAAGGTTAAAGCAGGTAAACATACACATACTTTTTGAAATGTAGCACTGTCACTCATTTGTAATAGAGACACCTGTAATACACAAGCTCTATGTGTCCGTTATGGCTAACCCAAGCGAAGCAGCCGGCAGATCCCTTGCTTACGCTTACAAATATTGCTCTCTCCAAATGCCAAGCAGCACAGTGATGCAGTTCCTTCTTCACAGGCATTTTTATTCCTTCCCCCAGAGTTCAAGCTAATGGGATGAGATGATGCAGGTCCCCTCTTCGTGGGCGGGGGGGGCAGAGCAACCAACAGAGTCTTTGTCCTTTGATGTTTTACAATGCCTCATTTGGTTTCAGTGGGCCTTCTTGTGTGTAGGACCAACAGTTTACACTAATTAATGCTTCTTTTCTGTTTGGTGAGTCACATAATTACAGAGGTTTACAATGCAAACACTTAGTATAGCTTCATACCATGGGCTAAAGATGTTATAAGTGAGATCAATACATGCAGCATCCTACAAGTATTTCATCAAGTCTAAGCACTAAACGTATTTTTAGCAACTTAACATCCGTTTTAACAATGCTAACACACAGGTCAGCCAGACCGGTTTCTAGCTATGCTTTTGTCAGTGTTCAGTGAGGCCTAGGGGCCTTGGCATGAGCTGGCATCGGGTCTGCCAGCGGCACAGTGGGTTTTTCTATCTAGCAGACAAAGGGATAACATGATCCAATGCCTGGAAGCTAGATTCAGACTGGAAATAAGGTGCAGTTGTTTACCAGTGAAGATGATTAACTATTGTAACAACTTACCTAAGGATATGGCAGATCCTCCATCAGTTGGAATCTTTAAATTAAGAGGTTTCAGAGTAACAGCCGTGTTAGTCTGTATTCACAAAAAGAAAAGGAGTACTTGTGGCACCTTAGAGACTAACCAATTTATTTGAGCATAAGCTTTCGTGAGCTACAGCTCACTTCATCGGATGAATGAAGCTCACGAAAGCTTATGCTCAAATAAATTGGTTAGTCTCTAAGGTGCCACAAGTACTCCTTTTCTTTTTTTAAATTAAGACCCTCTCTCTTTTTAAAAGATTGTGCTGTCGCTCACCCAGAAGCTCTTTGCTGGATAGATGAATCACTGGGTGAGGCTCTTGGGCCTGTGTTATACAAGAGGTTAGACTAGATGATTATAACATAGTTCCATCTGCTCCCTTTGTTCCTGTTCTCATGCAGCGAAGCATCTTTGGTGGAAATCCCATGCCCAGGCTGACTTCATCAATTACAAATTCATTCTTTCCTCTTTCAGTTCCGCCATCTTCCTAGCTAAACAATTCTACGTTTCCAATTTAATTGAGTCCCATGCCCAAAATTCCAGCCATCTTTCCACCACTTTTAACTCATTCCTCAAACCCTCCCGTACTTGTGCCTCTGCTTCTCTCTCTGTTCAGGTTCTTGCCAATTTCTTCCAAAAGAAAACTGACCGAATACCACATGACTTTCTCTCTTACCTTGGCTCTCCTTTCTACACCTCTTTCTTCTTCCAAGTCTCAGATTTCCCTAGCTTACAGGTATGGTCTGAGACCTGTCAGTTAGCCAGTTTTTAATACATTTTGTGTGCCCTGTTGATTTTGTACCATTCTGTTTTTTTAAACAAAATGTTGTGTTACCATATCTCATGCTGGGAGTGCTACAGGGTTTCAGAGCTGTGGACTGTGAGTTGGGAGACCCGTATTCTGTTCCTGGCTCTGTCACCTCCCTGGTGTGACCTTGGGGAAGTCACTTTCCTTCTCTGTGCCACTGTTTCCCCTCCCTGCACTGGTTTATTTAGTATAAATCCAGGGCAGGGACCATCTCTCTCTAGTGTCTAAGCAGCACCCAGAGCTGTAGGGCCTTGATCTCAGCTGGGGCTTCTAGGCACATCTCTAATGCAGATGCTGCTGCTAAGAAAGGCCTGGAGAGGCTCTGGGCCCCAGAGCAGTGAGTCTGTCTGGTTCTGTAGGGGTGAGAGCCGCTGCAGGCATTACATGATTGAGATGCAGCCCAATGCACGCTATGTGATCCTGGGGGAGGACCGAGCTCACACCTCGCTCACCGCGCTGGTCCAATACCATCGAACTGTGGGAATCCAGCCCTTCATGGAGACGTTGACTGTGCCCTGTGAGCAGGTGGGTGTTGGGGACTCCAGTTGTGCCTTATGGGCAAAGGGTGGGTGCGGGGGCTCAGACTATTCCCTCTGAGCTAATGGAATTGTCCCGACGGTAATATTGCTTTGTGTTCCCATAGGAAATGTCCAGTACTTTACCAACTGGTCAGGCAGCCCAGACCCCTCCTACCTTTATTCACTCGGAAGCTCTAGCAGATAGGCCAGTGGTTCTCGATCCACGGCCCAGTCAGCACACAGCTGCGGCCCATGTGACATCCTCAAGGCCATATGGGTAGTAGATATATTGTGTGGCTGCGGCCCACACAATACACAGAAAGCTCCATATGCAGCCCACAATGGTAAATAGATTGAGAACCAGCAACACAGGTTACTATTTTGGTGGGGGAGAGGAATGCTCCCATTGCATCCCTGGCCATCCCAGGGCAGCTCTACGAGCCAGGCATTATGTCCCTGCCCCCCAGTTACCATCCTGGGGAGTGCCTCTCACAGCTGCATTGCATCCCAAGCCCCTCATTGATGTTCTGGAGGCAGGGACACTCCCATAGCTGGGCACTCCTGGAGGTGTCCTGGGGACTCCTGCATCTGGGCATTTTACTTCTGGCTGCTGACTTGGAGACTCCTGCAGCTAACTGTGGATCTCTGTCTCTTCTGAATTCTGCCCTTTTTCCTTCAGAGAGGTGATGGGGACTCTGATTATGAGGAGCTGAAATTCCACACCCTGGCCCCATGGCCAGCAGATGGGGAGAAACAGCCTCAAAGGGAACAGGCTGGGCTTAATGGGGCACCTGTTGTCAGCCACATCCAGCATGCAGGAGCAACTGCTGTTCTCAAGCACATGCTGTTCAGGAAATCAAAGAAATGCCAAGAGCAGCAGCTGAGCCCAGACGAGGAGGGGGCGGAGCCAAGCCCATGTGAGGCTGGGGTGGCCAGACGGGCCATTCCTCGCCTCTACCCCTCCATACGGTTGGCAATGTGGGAAATCCAGCAGGTAAGAAGGCTGGCGGGTTCTGTCCATCCACCCTGTATCTGTTGGCCACCGAAGCAAACCCTGTCGGTCCAGAGTGTCTGTAGGTGAGTTAGAAGCTCTTTGCCTGGGGACCAAGTGGGGAAGAGGGCTCCCTACAAGTAGAAGGCAGTGTTCTCCTCCCTGTTGCAGGATTTCCAGGCTTCTCATTTTCCATGCCCTGTGGTTATGTGGTCTCTGGATCAAGGATGTATTCACTGGGAACTACAAGGTTTCAGGCTTCCTCACTCCTGGAGAGCAGATGGTGTGAGCGCCTCTGGGCATGAACAGCACAGGGCTCTGCAGGGCTTTGGTGGGGAGGTCCCCAGTGTGGGATGGCAGAGGGGGTTGTGTGTGTGTGTGTGTGTGTGATGAGGGGGGCTGACATTATGCCTCTGCTTTGCCCTGCAGTTTTCTTCCCACCCCTCAAATGGCTCCTATTCTGAGCTGCAACTGAAGCCCCAGCACTGAAGGCAGCGGGGCCCACAGCAAGAGTGACATGGTAAGAGCGGGGCCCCTGCAGCAGGACAGGTGGTAGATGCAGCTTCTCTAGGGAAGTCAGAGGAACAGAGGAGCCATTTCATCTCATTCCACCTGTGGCTGCTTGGAGAGTCTCCCTGGGCCAGCACCTGTACAGATTTTGGAGTGGAGGGTAAAATGGGAGAGCAGCTGCCAGCAGAAGCTAGGGGGGCTTCTGGGGGCCTGCACCACAGAGAGATCAGGGAAGGGGGGGAAAGCTGCATTTTCAGCTTAGGCTTTTGTTATTTCAGTGGCACTGGGGTGAGCAGAGTGCTTCAAAGGCAATAACTATGTCCTGCCCTGAGGAGCTCCGTCTGTTAAAGGCCACAACATATGACAACAGCTGGGCATGGGGAGCAGGAGAGAATGGGGGTTATGGCAAGTTAATCTGTGCTCTGCTTTATTCAGCTGCTTATACAGCTTGTGGGTCTGAGGGGGGACCCAGGAGCAGGTAGTGCCCGTGGGGAGACACTGAGCAGGTAGCACTGGGGGTGCAGCTGGGGTAGTGAGGAGAGAGAAAAGCAGGGGGCAGAGCTGTGCAGGTGAGGTGGAAAAGCTGGGACTTGATGTAGGAGGAAAGAGCAGCCAATGATGGGGTTTGAGCAAGGCTGACATAGTCTAAGCAGCAGGAGAGGAAGGGTATTGTAGCTGTAGTATGTGGGATGGATGAGAGAGAGCACTGGGGAGGCAGTGACCTCTGTTACAGGATGGCCAGACAGGAAGGCTGTTCCAGGGGTCAAGAGCTGCAGCAGAGTGGCAGGATTGGAGGGAGGCATAGAGGGAAATATCAGTGCTGGAGAAAAGGCAGGGTTCTGGAGGCAAAGCCTTTGAACAAGGACAGTGAGTGGCCACTGGCTCCTATAACGAATGCAAGTGTGTGGAGCTGAAATCCAGGGTTCCTGAGACTTCTGGGAGCTGGAGACTCAGAGGATAAAGACTGAATTAGCAGCAGCTCAGGCCAGTGTTCGCTGTCTCCACGGGGCACAGCTGGTTCTTGACGGGTGGTGGGGACAGGCTGCTCTGCTTGAGTGTCAGCCTATGATGGTAGCTGCAGTGCTGGGGGATTCATAGATCGTAAGGACAGAAGGGACTGTTAGATCATCTAGGCTGGCCTCCTGTACAGAAGAGGTCAGAGAATTTTAAGCAGCTACTCCTGTATTGGGCCCAATAACTTTGTTTGACTAATGCATATCTAATGGATGTACAGGCAGTGGGTGAGAGCCATGTCCCACCTGGCTGGTGAGAACCAGTGGAGAGGTGTTGATGTTGCTGTTGTGAATCATTGACAGTTATCTCCTAAGAGAAGGCAAGGAGCTGGCTTCTCTCAGCAAGTTAGACCCTGCTGTAGAAACCATCCCTTGGCATAGACAGTCTGCCCAACCATATCCCAAATCTCCCCTGTGGGGGCAAGATTGTTGAGGAGGTTGTGGTAAAGCATCTCCAGTAATATCTGGATTGTTCAGGTCTCTGACGCCCATCAGGTCAGCGTCAAGCTGGTGATGGATGAGCGTCAGGTGTCCGAGCTGATTCTATCTGCTGCCTGTGACACCACTGGCCACAAGGCTTTGCTGATCTGTCTGAAGCTCCTAGCAAGAGTTGTCAGGGTGTTCAAGGGGCTCTGCTCTCTTCTTTTGAGAGATTGTGGTGATTAGTATTGGGCAGGGGTCCTATCTTGTCACCCTGTGACATACCAGAGTACAATCCAGACCAGTGAATAGCTGTGTCACCTCTGCCCTGTAACCTGGGGTGCCCCTTACAGTACTTAGCCGCTATAACCTCCAGCATGGACTGCTCACAGCCTCCAGCATGTAAATCACTCTCAGCCACATCTATGTGTGCTCCAGCCAGCCAGACACACCTTGGCTCTTACCAGCCTTAAAGTCACCGCAGGGTGATTCCAACACACTCCCAGACCCAGATTTCCCCCCAGACACACATGTTCTGTCTTGCCCAGCCCTGTCCTGGACAGTACGAATATATTCAGTCTGTTATTCCTTTAAGGGAATAACATGCACACAACTTGCTATCCCAAATGGGGTTACCCAGACACTTCAACTTGAACACACTAGATTAGATAAAACAATAGAACAAGTTTATTTACTACAAAGAGAGATTTTAAGCGAGTGCAAGTAATAAGGCATAAAAATCAGAAGTGGTTGCAAGAAAAATAAATATAAAATGCTTACTGTCACCTAACTTAACAGTGCCTACATTAGATTCCCAGCAAAGTTCTCTCATCACATGCTTTCAATAGTCTTCCTAACCAAACTCTGCCGGTCTGGACCCCTCCCCCAGTCCAATGGCTGCATCCTTTGCCTCTTCAGGTACAGTGAATGTGATGGACAGGGAGAGAGAAGGTTGCCTTGGGGTGTTTGTCCCTCCTTTTTATGGTTCCAGTCCCCCTCTTGAAAAACATTTCCAGCTGAGAACCAGGAGCCAAAGAGTCTACGTGGAAGGACGTTCCTTGCTGTTTTTTTCACCTGTTTGAACTTCCTTTGTCTTCCCTTCCTGCTTCATGACTCTGCTTACAGTTTAAATGCATATTAAGCAAAGCCAACTTCTGTTTAGGCAGGGCTGTGAGGTTTGGAACATGTGTTAATAAAACCATACAGGGGAATCTTATAACTTCATAGACAGTGTTTCCACAAATATTTTACCAGCACAATACTGGCCAGCAAATTATGAGTTTTCAGATAATACTTTATGAAGCATACGTTTGACAGATGATATTACAATAGTGTTTAGGATGTGAATACAGGGGTATATTCGGTCCGACACCGCTATTGTTCAATATGTGTATGGGATCATCAGGGAGAGGTGAGGAAGTACATGTTGCAGCGACCTCAGGCTGAGGACTCCCAGCTCTGTATTTCCATCTCTCCCAGCCTCCGATGTAGGGGAGTGATTTACTCAGTGTCTCCAGGAAACTAGGTTATCGACCAGGGCAGTTGTCTGCAACTCAGCACAGGAGAGACTGAGATTACAAGGAAGGCAGCCAGAAGGAGTGGTAGAGAGTATGTTGGCTCCCAGATGAACAGGATCCCTCCATCACTGCCCAGGCTTGTAACCTGGGGTCTTTTTGGATCCCCAGTTGCTCTAGATTTTTAGCTGGCGGCAGCAGTTGAGCACTTGCCAAAGAGATTGCATCTGATTCCTTTGGGATACAGAGATCTCTCCAGGTATTTGTGATGTCAAGGTTGGATCATTGCAATGGGCTCTACATGGGGCTGCACCTTCAGTCCTCCAGAAACTGCAGCTACTTAAACAGTGTTCCCTACAGAGCACATTTCTGCCTGTGCTCCAGGGCCTGCACTGGTCCCAGTTGCCCTCCAGTTGCAGGTTTTTCATGGTTTAGGTCTCAAGAGGCACCTCTCTCCCCATGGACACTGCAGCAGCTGAGACCATGCACAATTCTGAAGCTAAACAGGAGGAGGTGGGGAGGAGCTCCTGGACTTTGGAACATTCTCCCTGTCCCCAAATCTTGAGTCTGGATTTGGTGATGTTCAGTCCATGGTATAAGACCCACCCACTCTTCTTGGCTTTTCTGTGTGTGTATTGGGCGGTGGAGATCTGTTGGCAACTGAGAGGCTCTTCAGGAGTTCTTGTGAAGATTTCAGATCTGTTGTTTATTGCTGTGCTTTGTGTCTTGCACCTGCAGTCAGATGTACTTGAAACAAAACTACCATGCAATCCGCATTCTGGGTACTTCACAGACCTTCGCTAGCTCACAGTGTGACAATCGCAGAGCCCTCCCTGCCTTCCCCACCTTCCCTTTACATTCTCCCCTGAGACTTGTTTCCCTGCCTCTCTTACAGACAAACCTGGCTCAGGCCCTGCCCTCCTCTGGTGCTGCAAGGCCCTGCATCACCTGGGAGAAGCACCTGGGGAGAAGGCAGCCTCTTCCACATGCACAGGGCTGGCTCTGTGCCCTATGGACAAGACACTGGGAGAGAAGAACTTTCTGCAGCTTTTTGTCATGCTCTGCCACTGGGGAGCTGCTGTACAGGCCAGTCTCTGATTCTGGGCAGGAGGAGTTGATGGCATGACCAAGAGCTGGGGTCCTTGTGCAAATCTGTATGGAAATCTTGATGGTGATTTTTCTGATACAGCTGGAGAATGAATGCCCTGTACTTCGTGTGTTTAGATATTTGGCTGTGAATGTCTTCTCCCTGTGTGCTGTCCCAGCTCTGTGCAGACAGCTGGCACAGCAGACCTCGAGCAAACCGCCCAATGACCACAAGATCTGTTAAGGTGCGAAGACACCTGGCCAAGTTTATTGTCAACAAAACATGGTAATAGCACCTGGCAGACTCTACGAGATACTAAGATGTGTATGCCCATGATAAGGGACGCAGTTCAGTGAATGGCGGGACTTTCCATTCCCCCCTCAGCTGGTCAAAGATACTCCCTCTGAGATACATCTTTATACCCCAATACAAACAAGTTAGTACTGCCTCTGACATGGTTACTGCCCCCTGATGTGGCTAGTTATCACCCATCACCTTGTACATGTTGGTCCAATCAAAACATCTCTATTACGTACTGACAGGTTTCAGAGTAGCAGCCGTGTTAGTCTGTATTTGCAAAAAGAAAAGGAGTACTTGTGGCACCTTAGAGACTAACAAATTTATTTGAGCATAAGCTTTCGTGACCTACAAGCTTGTAGCTCACGAAAGCTTATGCTCAAATAAATTTGTTAGTCTCTAAGGTGCCACAAGTCCTCCTTTTCCTATTACATACTGTCATCCTGACCTTATCTTTTTAGGAGGGGTGAGTTTGTTCCTGTTATCCTTGAGGAACGTTTTTGTACCATCCTTGATTATCAGAATGTTCTGGTACCACTTAATATCAGGATGTGTTTGTGTAAGTACTCTGTGCTTAGCGCTTCTTAGGAATGTGTATTTCTGCAATATCAGCCCTGTTCTGCCACATTCTATGAGCAGGTCCTCCCTCATACCAGGCCTCTAATACAAGGGCTTATGTCTCGGGCTTTCTTCCTACTACATTTTGGTTAACAAATCTGATCACTCAGGGTGTCTCACAGTATTCCTTTAGCTCACAATTAGAGTGCTGATTTTCAATCTCCCATTTTGAGTTTTCTCTGTGCTTTGGCAAGGTCACTGTGGGGGTTTGGACCCGTTGTTCTGGCAGGCCATGGATGTCTGGCGCTGGGGATAGGGAATTAAATTGATTTGTTCCTTTTGCCTTTCTAGCATCAAAACCAGAACTGAGACCCTCACAGAAACAGGAAGGGGCTGCTGCCTCCCCTAAGCCAAAGCCCTCACTTGGGCTACTCCCCCATCTCTGTGCTGGGTTCTAGCCCAGAACAGAGAAAATGAGGGACCTGTTCCTGTCCCCCATGCCTTGGTCTACATGGAGCAGTAACACTAAGTCTCCAGGCTGCACAATGGTGTCCCCTGACTCATGACACAGAGGAGCTAGTACTGCACTGTTTACATTTTCTGTCATTTAACACTTTGAGTGTAATGAGACTTTTTGGGACAGCTTCTCTGATGTTAGGTGGAAGCCATGACCATAGGCGCCAGCTCCGTGGGTGCTCCAGGGCTGCAGCACCCATGGGGAAAAATTAGTGGATGCTCTGCACCCACCAACAGCCAAGCTCCCCCGCCCCGCCTCACCACCTCCTCCTCCTCCCCTGAGCATGCCGCGTCCCTGCTCCTCCTCCTACTTCCCTACTTGCCGCTGACAAACAGCTGTAGCAAGCTCCAGGAGGGAGGGGGGAGGGGAACGTGGCACGCTCAGGAGAGGAGGCGGGGCCAGGGCGGGGATTTGGGGAAGGGGTTGGAATGGGCACGTGATTGGAATAACAGAGACTTGGTGGGATAACTCACATGACTGGAGTACTGTCATGGATGGTTATAAACTGTTCAGGAAGGACAGGCAGGGCAGAAAAGGTGGGGGAGTAGCACTGTATGTAAGGGAGCAGTATGACTTCTCAGAGCTCCGGTACGAAACTGTAGAAAAACCTGAGTGTCTCTGGATTAAGTTTAGAAGTGTGTGCAACAAGAGTGATGTAGTGGTGGGAGTCTGCTATAGACCACCGGACCAGGGGGATGAGGTAGATGAGGCTTTCTTCCGGCAGCTCACGGAAGCTACTAGATCGCATGCCCTGATTCTCATGGGTGACTTTAATTTTCCTGATATCTGCTGGGAGAGCAATACAGCGGTGCATAGACAATCCAGGAAGTTTTTGGAAAGCGTAGGGGACAATTTCCTGGCGCAAGTGCTAGAGGAGCCAACTAGGGGGGGCGCTTTTCTTGACCTGCTGCTCACAAACTGGGTAGAATTAGTGGGGGAAGCAAAAGTGGATGGGAATCTGGGAGGCAGTGACCATGAGTTGGTTGAGTTCAGGATCCTGACGCAGGGAAGAAAGGTAAGCAGCAGGATACGGACCCTGGACTTCAGGAAAGCAGACTTCGACTCCCTCAGGGAACGGATGGCCAGGATCCCCTGGGGGACTAACTTGAAGGGGAAAGGAGTCCAGGAGAGCTGGCTGTATTTCAAGGAATCCCTGTTGAGGTTACAGGGACAAACCATCCCGATGAGTCAAAAGAATAGTAAATATGGCAGGCGACCATCTTGGCTTAATGGTGAAATCCGAGCGGATCTTAAACATAAAAAAGAAGCTTACAAGAAGTGGAAGGTTGGACATATGACCAGGGAAGAGTATAAAAATATTGCTCGGGCATGTAGGAATGATATCAGGAGAGCCATATCGCACCTGGAGCCGCAGCTAGCGAGAGATGTCAAGAGTAACAAGAAGGGTTTCTTCAGGTATGTTGGCAACAAGAAGAAAGCCAAGGAAAGTGTGGGCCCCTTACTGAATGAGGGAGGCAACCTAGTGACAGAGGATGTGGAAAAAGCTAATGTACTCAATGCTTCTTTTGCCTCTGTCTTCACTAACAAGGTCAGCTCCCAGACTGCTGCGCTGGGCATCACAAAATGGGGAAGAGATGGCCAGCCCTCTGTGGAGATAGAAGTGGTTAGGGACTATTTAGAAAAGCTGGACGTGCACAAGTCCATGGGGCCGGACGAGTTGCATCCGAGAGTGCTGAAGGAATTGGCGGCTGTGATTGCAGAGCCATTGGCCATTATCTTTGAAAACTCGTGGCGAACCGGGGAAGTCCCGGATGACTGGAAAAAGGCTAATGTAGTGCCAATCTTTAAAAAAGGGAAGAAGGAGGATCCTGGGAACTACAGGCCAGTCAGCCTCACCTCAGTCCCTGGAAAAATCATGGAGCAGGTCCTCAAAGAATCAATCCTGATGCACTTGCATGAGAGGAAAGTGATCAGGAACAGTCAGCATGGATTCACCAAGGGAAGGTCATGCCTGACTAATCTAATCGCCTTTTATGATGAGATTACTGGTTCTGTGGATGAAGGGAAAGCAGTGGATGTATTGTTTCTTGACTTTAGCAAAGCTTTTGACACGGTCTCCCACAGTATTCTTGTCAGCAAGTTAAGGAAGTATGGGCTGGATGAATGCACTATAAGGTGGGTAGAAAGCTGGCTAGATTGTCGGGCTCAACGGGTAGTGATCAATGGCTCCATGTCTAGTTGGCAGCCGGTATCAAGTGGAGTGCCCCAAGGGTCGGTCCTGGGGCCGGTTTTGTTCAGTATCTTCATAAATGATCCGGAGGATGGTGTGGATTGCACTCTCAGCAAATTTGCGGATGATACTAAACTGGGAGGAGTGGTAGATACGCTGGAGGGGAGGGATAGGATACAGAAGGACCTAGACAAATTGGAGGATTGGGCCAAAAGAAATCTGATGAGGTTCAATAAGGATAAGTGCAGGGTCCTGCACTTAGGATGGAAGAATCCAATGCACCGCTACAGACTAGGGACCGAATGGCTAGGCAGCAGTTCTGCGGAAAAGGACCTAGGGGTGACAGTGGACGAGAAGCTGGATATGAGTCAGCAGTGTGCCCTTGTTGCCAAGAAGGCCAATGGCATTTTGAGATGTATAAGTAGGGGCATAGCGAGCAGATCGAGGGACGTGATCGTTCCCCTCTATTCAACATTGGTGAGGCTTCATCTGGAATACTGTGTCCAGTTTTGGGCCCCACACTACAAGAAGGATGTGGATAAATTGGAGAGAGTCCAGCAAAGGGCAACAAAAATGATTCGGGGTCTAGAACACATGACTTATGAGGAGAGGCTGAGGGAGCTGGGATTGTTTAGCCTGCAGAAGAGAAGAATGAGGGGGGATTTGATAGCTGCTTTCAACTACCTGAAAGGGGGTTCCAAAGAGGATGGCTCTAGACTGTTCTCAATGGTAGCAGATGACAGAACGAGGAGTAATGGTCTCAAGTTGCAGTGGGGGAGGTTTAGATTGGATATTTGGAAAAACTTTTTCACTAAGAGGGTGGTGAAACACTGGAATGCGTTACCTAGGGAGGTGGTAGAATCTCCTTCCTTAGAGGTTTTTAAGGTCAGGCTTGACAAAGCCCTGGCTGGGATAATTTAACTGGGAATTGGTCCTGCTTTGAGCAGGGGGTTGGACTAGATGACCTTCTGGGGTCCCTTCCAACCCTGATATTCTATGATTCTATGGGGGCGGGAGGGGGCAGGGCAGGGGTGGAGTTGGGGTTGGGCTGGGGGCAGAGGAGGGGTCAAGCACCCACCGGTGCCAGTAGAAGTCGGCGCCTATGACCATGACATCCGTGTTCCTATGGTCTTCAGCCATTTCTCTGAGTCCTGGGTGTGGGCAAAGTGTTGTCCAAGAGTCTGCTTAGGGAGCAAGGAAATGGTTAATGATTGGTAACCAGGGCAGAGGTAATATTCACAGCCTCCTTTCAGTGCTAAGGCAACCGTAGTGCGACATTATCCTGCTGTCCTAGCCTGTTGCTTTGACTCTGGCTTCCCTCTCTGTGGATCCCTTCACTGGTGCACCCTTCTCTGTTGCTGCTTGTGTTCGCTGTCAGGGCCCTCCTGGTCAATCCTCATCCTCCCTGTCCTCTCTCATTCGCTATCAAGTTGTTGACACATGGGTGCATGATGCCAGCCTCCACTGCCCACCTGTTAAATATTCAAACGAGCACCTTTATGCTTTCTCCCATGTTGCCTCTCAAGATTGGGAGGCTCTCCCTATAAAAACCCTCAAAGCTACCTCATTATTCACCTTCAGATCCCTTCTTAAAACTCTCCTTTGCCGTGATGCCTAAAAAAACATGACCGTGATTAGGCTGTGATCTCAGTGGTCCTCTGGCCTATCATGTTGACCAATAATGTTTCATTGTTTCCTTGTACTCCCGTCAGTCTCTCTATCCATCTATAGTCTCTTGTCTGATACTTAGAACGTAAGCGCCTTGTTCCAGGGGCCTTCTGGTTTTTTTTTTTTTGTCCTTGTACAGCGCCTAGTACATTGAGGTCCTGGTCCATGACTAAGGCTCCAAGGTGCTACAGCCATCATCCCAAGCCATCAGTAACAATCACCAGCTCCTGCTACTTGACCTAGTGGTAGTTGATAAATTGTATAGTCAGTTACTTTAACTCACTTTGACTCATCATGAAATATATTCAGAAGACCAAAGAACCATTATCGGTCAGGTTTACTGCTAAAAACCAATAAGAATATACTATGGGGAAAAAAGAGCCAATATGATA